GAGATACCGAGCTGAAATGGGAGCACGGGATTTGGCGTTGGATTTGGAATCAGCGGCGGCGGCGCTCCAAGGGGGCCTGAGGCTCGGCGAGGAAGAAGAGGGTCGAAGACAGGCTGGGTTGAAGATGCAGATGGGAGCTCAACTGTCTCTTGGGCTTGGGAACCACAGCATCCAAACCAATGGGGTAAGGAGTGATGGGCCAGAGCAGCAGCCCAACAAACAAGCCCACAATTCCTATCAACATATCCAGGCTGAGTTAGAAGGGGAAGCGGGCCGAAGGATGAAGAAAAGGAAGGGGTTGTCGGCCCAAGGCTCAGAAGGTGTTGAGGCTGGTCTAATTGAAGGGGCTTCTTTTAACTTAAGCCCAACAAGTTCTGTTTTTGCAGGTGGGAAGAGTGGAGGAAATAGAAAGAAGAAGCAACATAAGAACAAGGCCCATTCGATTAATGAGGGTATCGGGGATGGACAAAGGGAATCGACGGCAGCCGTGGTTCGCCATAAGCCACCTCATCTCCCATGAGTATAGTAAGTTGGAATTGTAGGGGATTTGGCCAATCCCTTACAAGAAGCTATGCGAAGCGTCTTATTAGGCGTCATGGCCCTTCTATTGTTTTTCTGATGGAAACCTGCAACAATGAAGAATTCATGGAAGAACATAGAAGAAGTCTCAAGATTTTCCCCAATCGAGAGTATGTCGAACCAATCAACTCATCTAGGGGCTTTGCGGTTTGGTGGAAGGAGGGTATTAGTATAGATGTAATCAGTAGTGATAGGTACTATGTTGATGTTAGTATTGATATGGGGAAGAAGTTCTTCTGTACTTTTGTTCACGCCCCGACTACAGCTGTTAGTAGAAGGGAGTTTTGGGAGCACCTGAGTTCCCTTCGGAGTAGTAGGGAGGACAATTGGGTCATTGTAGGTGATTTTAATGCTGCGATTTATGAGAATGAGAAGGAGGGGAGATGCCCGCTTAGGTACGAGAATGTCAATCCTTTCAAAAACTTCATTTTTGACAATGCCCTCATAGACCTCGGGTTCAAAGGCAACCCATTCACCTGGTCAAACAAGCGGACGGGAGCAAACTTAGTTAGAGTAAGACTAGACCGGGTGTTGTGTTCGCCGTCCTGGAGAGAGCAGTTTAGTGAAGCGGTTGTCTTTCATGAAAAAATGGTGAGTTCAGATCATTGTCCAATTAGGATTGACCTTCACTACCAAGGAATCAGAAGAAGAAGAACTCCTTTCAGAGTCGATGAGAGATGGCTGGAAAAAGAAGAATGTAAGGAGATAGTATGTAGAGAATGGGATCCAGGTGGGCATTCTAGCAACCAACTGAGTAAATGCGAGAGAGAACTGAAGGCTTGGTCAAAGGATTTCCATAAGAATAGTGTTCAAAGGGAGAATGAGATTGTGACCAGGTTGGAAATCCTCCAACAACCTCCACGGATGCAAGAGAATGTGGAGGAGGAAAAGAACCTCACAACAGAACTGAATAAAATTTGGCTGGAAGAAGAAGCCTTTTGGAGCCAATGCTCGAGAGTAAATTGGCTTCAAAAAGGAGACCAAAATACTTCTTTCTTCCATTCCAGCACTATCTTCAGAAGACATAAAAACAGAATCCTTCGCCTTAGAGATGATATGGGAAATTGGGTTGAGGATGAAGCAAGGCTGAAAGGCATGTCAGTGGGGTTTTTCAAAGATCTTTTCAAGGCCAGATCTCCTATTGCTTTCAACCATCTCCTCCAAGGGTTCCCAATGATGGTCACAAGAGAGATGAATGAAGACCTCATTGCGACAATTAGCAATGAGGAGATTAGGAAGGCAGTGTTCTCTCTTGGAGCCAGGAAGGCTCCCGGTCCGGATGGGTTCTCGGGAAAATTCTACAGGAAGTATTGGGATACTGTGGGTGAAACCCTCTGCAGAGAAATAAAGGAGTTTTTTGAGACGGCATCTATGCCTGAGGGGTGGAATGATACTCACATTACGATGGTACCAAAGGTAGACCATCCGGAGAGCATTGGACAATTTCGCCCCATAAGTTGCTGCAACTTCAGATACAAAATCATATCAAAGATCATGGCTACCAGATTGAAGAAATGGACCCCTTCTCTTGTCTCGGAGCTCCAAACAGCGTTCACAGGCGGACGGCTCATACAAGATAATATCATTATTGTACATGAAGTGCTACATCACTTCAAGAATCACAAATTGGGCAATAGGAGAGATATGATGCTGAAACTGGATATGAAGAAGGCTTATGACATGGTTGACTGGGATTGCCTAGAAACTCTTCTTGGAAAATATGGATTCGATGAAAAGTGGTGTAAATGGGTTAGTAGTTGTATCCGATCGGTGAGATTCTCGGTGTTGTTCAATGGTGAAGCATCAGAGACCTTCTGTCCGTCAAGAGGCATTAGACAGGGAGACCCTCTGTCCCCTTTTCTCTTCATTCTTATGTCTAATGCCCTTACATTCCTGGTTGATAAGGCTGTGTCGGAAGATCGCATCAAGGGAATTAAGCTTAACAATAGATGCCCCACCATCTCACATTGCCTGTTTGCTGATGACACAGTCATTTTTGGGAAAGCTAATATTCAAGAGGCAGGAAGAATTTTGGATATCATTAATGATTATGGAGCAATCACTGGGCAAGAGGTCAATATCAACAAGTCATCAGTCTTCTTCAGTGCGAATGTTCCAACAGAGGAAAAGAATGACATCATCACTCACATTGGATTTGCTTCTACAAACTGTCATTCCAAGTATCTCGGAGTCCCGATCGAATGGGGAAACTCAAAGAAAGAGACGTTCTACTTCCTTATCCAAAGGATGGAAAAGATGGGGGAAGCGTGGAAAAGCCTTCTTCTTTCCCACGGAGGAAAGGAGGTGCTCCTCAAATCTGTGATTCAGGCTATTCCATCGTTCATTATGTGCCTCTTCCTCCTCCCAGTGTCCCTAACGAAGAAGATGGATTCACTGCTCAGTAACTTCTTCTGGTCAGGGTCAATGCAGAAGAACAGTATACACTGGTGTAGTAAGGAAGTTCTGTGTACCCCTAAGTCAGAAGGAGGTCTAGGGTTTCGAAGCTTTAGAGACTTTAATCTGGCCCTTCTGGCAAAGCAAGCTTGGCGGCTTCTGACCAATCCTGATGCTCTTTGGAGTCGACTTCTCAAAGGACTTTACTTCCCAAGAGGAAACTTCCTCTCGGCAAAAAAAGGAAGCAAACCGTCCTGGATATGGGCTAGCCTCTGGGATTCCAAGAAAGTCATTGATCTGGGAGCGGTGAGAGTGATTGGGTCAGGAGATGAGTCATGGATTGATCAAGACCCTTGGGTTCCCTCCCTTCCTAAAGCGAGCATTCAGAGTGGACCTCAAAACCATATTCGAGTCAATTCATGGATCGATCAAGAGAGAAGGAAGTGGAATAATGAAATGATCCGAGGGCAGGTATCTACTTCTGAGATGGACGCTATTTTGAGAATTCCCATTGGGGAGATGGATTCTAAGGATTTCTGGGCTTGGAAATTGAATGAGAATGGAAAATTCACTGTCAAAACGGCATACCATGCGGTGCACCTACATTCAACGGAACCCCAGACGATGGGCAATGTGGAAAAATGGAAATGGATGTGGAACCTTGATATCCCTCCAAAGCTTAAGTTCTTCGTATGGAGGTGCTCTAAGAACGGTCTTGCTACAAAAGAGAAACTCTTTAGGAGGAAATGCTCTCCTAACTCAACGTGTCAAGTGTGTCAATGCCCCATTGAGTCCCTCCTTCACTGCCTGTTCTTGTGCGACCACGCAAGAGAATCTTGGAATGCTATCTTCCCTTCCCTCCCTTTTCCGGCTCAGTCTACAGCCTTCCTTGACTGGTTGTACTTTATCAAGGATGTTATCCACCCAGGAGCCTTGACCCATGTTATCTTCCTGTGCTGGAATATTTGGAAGGCAAGAAATGAGTGTGTGTTCAAGAATCGGATCCCTTGGCATCCGAATGTGATTATGAGAACGTACAAGGATTTTACTGAATGGACGACTTGTCCGAAGGTCCCCCCCCCCCCCCCTTAACTCGCCTTCAGCTCAGCTCAGGGGAGCCCAATCACTCACCTCTCCACCGCCAAGCAATCATAATTATGTGATTCACTGTGATGGGTCGTTCTTAAACGACTCCCAGCCGGCGGCATATGGTATTGTTGTCATTAACCACCATGGACAAGTGTGTGACGGGCGAGCTGACACCCTCCTTTGTTCCACCCCATTCGAAGCCGAAACAAAAGCTCTCTTGGAAGGTCTCAAATTAGCTCAAGAATATGGCACCGAATGTGTTGTCCAGTCTGACTGCCAGACGTTAGTTAAAGCTCTTCAACAAGAACCTAGATATTGGCCATGGCGAGGAGCAGCAGGGATTGGATCAATGGTTTCAATCCTGAGAGCAAATCCTCAAATCAAGGTCAATGCGGTGTCGCGTAGTTGTAATGTCAGAGCAGATTGGGTTGCGCGATCTCTTGCTAGATCTTCTCTCCCAATTAACTGGATTAGTGTTCTTGATCTAATTTCTGATTTCCTTTGAGATTTGTAACCGTCTTCTTAGAATTGGTGTTGGAATAAAATAATTCTTACTGTCAAAAAAAAAAAAAAACCAACTACCGCCGTCGCTCGCCGTCAACCCACCTACTTTGACAACTTTTGAACCGGCTCCGCCGCTCCACTACCACCAAACGCCGCCGTTCCGGGTTGTCCGCTACCTCCATAGGAATCATCGGCAGTCCTTCTTCGCCTACTCACAAAGAACAACAGCCAGCTCCTCGTTAGTTGTTGAAAAGAGCACCTCTTCGCTACCTCGACGAGTCCGTCCAAATTGAAATTGGCATAATTTCCCCAAAGGCCAACACTCCCCGATTCCCACCCACCACTCTTTCTATATAGAACTCCGCCATCCCCGTTTCCTCCTCCCTCCTCCGCCGCCGCCCAATTTCCTTTCAAATCTTTCCTTTTCCCCATCAATGGAAGCCTCCACCCTTTCCCGCATCGGGCTCGCCGGCCTGGCCGTGATGGGTCAGAACTTGGCCCTCAACATCGCCGAGAAAGGATTCCCGATCTCCGTCTACAACCGCACCACTTCCAAAGTCGACGAAACCCTCCAGCGCGCGCAGAACGAAGGTCCCTTCCCTCTCTCCGGCCACTACACTCCTCGCGATTTCGTCCTCTCCCTCCAGCGGCCCAGATCTGTCATCATCCTGGTCAAAGCAGGGTCCCCCGTTGACCAGACCATCGCCGCACTTTCCGAGCACATGGAATCCGGCGACTGCATCATCGACGGCGGGAACGAGTGGTACGAGAACACCGAGCGCCGGATTCAGGAGGTGAGCAATCGGGGTATTCTTTATTTGGGTATGGGTGTCTCCGGCGGCGAGGAAGGTGCACGTAACGGCCCTTCCTTGATGCCCGGTGGGTCTTTCGAAGCTTATAATAACATCAAGGATATCCTAGAGAAAGTAGCTGCTCAGGTTGAGGATGGTCCTTGCGTTACTTATATTGGGGAAGGTGGAGCTGGGAATTTTGTGAAGATGGTTCACAATGGGATTGAGTACGGCGATATGCAGCTCATCTCTGAAGCTTATGATGTGTTGAAGAACGTGGGCGGGTTGTCGAATGAGGAGCTTGGTGAGATTTTTGGGGAGTGGAATCGAGGGGAGCTCGAGAGCTTCCTGATTGAGATCACTTCCGACATTTTCAAGGTTAAAGATGATCTTGCCGATGGGGAGTTGGTGGATAAGATTCTGGATAAGACTGGGATGAAGGGTACTGGTAAATGGACGGTTCAGCAGGCTGCTGAGCTCTCTGTTGCTGCACCCACCATTGCTGCTTCTTTGGACTGCAGGTACTTGAGTGGGTTGAAGGAAGAGAGGGAGAATGCTGCAGAGATTTTGAAGGAGGCTGGATTGAAGGAGGAAGTTGGAGCTGTGAAGAGTGGCATTGATAAGAAGAGGTTGATTGATGATGTGAGGCAGGCATTGTATGCTTCCAAGATTTGTAGCTATGCACAAGGGATGAATCTCTTGAGGGCCAAGAGTATCGAGAAAGGCTGGAACCTGAATTTGGGAGAGATGGCCAGGATTTGGAAAGGCGGGTGTATTATCAGGGCAGTGTTCTTGGACAGGATCAAGCAGGCTTATCAGAGGAATCCAAACTTGGCTAGCTTGATTGTTGACCCAGAATTCGCCAAGGAGATGGTTCAGAGGCAAGCGGCCTGGAGAAGAGTTGTGGGTACGGCCATCTCAGCAGGGATCAGTACACCTGGAATGTGTGCTTCTCTTGCTTACTTCGACACTTACAGGCGTGCTAGACTGCCAGCCAATCTTGTCCAGGCTCAGAGGGACTTGTTTGGGGCACATACTTATGAGAGGGTCGATCGCCCTGGTGCGTTCCATACCGAATGGACAAAACTCGCTCGCAACAGCAATGCTGCTGGTGTGCATGCTTTGAACTAAAGCTTTTATGTTGAAGACCTGTTGGGGTTTGTCTTGCTTGTTTCTGGGTTTCGATTGGGTTGTTTGCCTATTTGAATTTAGAAGAAAGTGTATGTTGCGCATTCAGGAAAAGATTGGCTAGGCATAGCAAATGACCATTTAGTTGTTTACTTTACCGTTAATAAGAAATGCTTGCCTCTTTAGACTTCATTGAGTTTGCAATGGAAACAGTTATGTTTCTGCGCCTGTTTATTTTTGCTTCCTACTTAATTGATTTTCCCAGTTAGAAAAGTAATTGAAAGTTGAAGTCTTTCTATTGATACAAAGCAATACATGGGCATCTGTTACTTGCCATATATTCATATATTCACACAACCTTTAGAAGGGATTGTGGTACAATGGTTAACGTGATCAACATGGAAGAAGAAGAAGACTGAAGAAAAGTTAGGTGTATGGAAATTTTACAAGTAGTAGTTCTGTTTCTTCCCATGTTCGTTCTGCATCTGGGTTTTACTTTCCCAACAAGAAAATGATGGAAAGTTGATATCTTTCAGCTGATACAGAGCATAAAGTGAGAAAAAGGAAATGCGAAACGTGAATGAGAGAGAGCTATGGAAAATAGCCAGTTTCAATTGTTGGCTGGGTTCTGGTAACAGCTGCAGACGGCATTTTGCTACTCCTTATCCATACAGTTTGAAGAACTAAATCTTCATCAGCTTGTCTTTCCATTACCTGAATCTTCTTCGTCTTCAAAAGCTTCTTAGACAACAAGAATCCGAAATACGCCACCAGAACCAGTCCCGCCATCCCAACCACAATCCCCACCACCATCCACAGAAACCAGAGCTTCTTCTCCTTCCTGTGAAACCCTTCTTCTGGAACCACAACAGAGAAATGACCTTGATCCTTAACATAACAGGCATCCAACTCCTCCATTTCTCTGAGATCGAAGCTCCCATCACTACCAAACACAATGCACTGTGCTCCAGACCTCTCCTTGATTCTTCCTCCTGGGAAGTTCACAGCAACAGACTTCTCTCCCGTGTCGAGGCTAATCTTTCTGATCATGTTTCGCGCACTGATATTCGACACATCAAAAACCTGAAACCCGACTACTGGAGCGAGGAACGAATAGCCTTCAACACTGTAGTACTCAGACGACCGATTTCCCAAGTCTTGGTACACAATCGCCAGCCTCTTGACGTGAGGCATGGGCATGGTTCTTGGAGGGATCCGGAAGTTGCTGAAGTTGGCGCCAAGATTCCATAGCCTCCTGCTTCTCAGCCTTACGACCGAGACCCGGATACCTGATAGATTGGAAGGGAGCAGAGCTTGGTAGAGAGCACCAGTGTGGCGGCGGTATTGGAAAACGGTTTGGAAAGCTGAAGCTTCGAGGAAAGCATCCAGAGATTCGGCAGTGAAGTCATATAAGCCATCTGCTGATGCTGAAATGCATAGTTGAATTATCAGTAACCAGATGAGATTCAGACCCATGTTTGAATGCTTTCTGGGTTTTGAAGAACAACTTTCAGGGATTGAGAAAAGACAGAAAGCTTTCCGGTTTGATGGTGCATATGTGAACTAGCTGAGCATCCGCTCTAATGGGTTCCCAAGGTTTTCTTTCCTCTTTTGCTTTTATTTATTCAACCCCCTTAAAAGTCATTATGCTCAATAATTCATTCTGCCCCTTCAAAAGCTGCATTAGGAAACCAATTTTGATGAATTATGATGTTTTGCCAAGCATGCCCACTGTGGGGTCCTAAAGAAGAAGAAGAAGAAGCCGTTGCAGTTGACTTGTGAGTCCAGGGGAAGTCCAATCAGAAAGTTGAGGGAAAAGCTTAAGCCTGTTCACTTCCATTTTCGTTTCCTGTTTTCTGTTTTCATGTCATAAATTTGGCAACCGAAACGAGAAAACTTGTTTACTTTTCATTCTGTTTTCTATTCGTTTCCAACTATGAAAACAGAAAGTGGCAACTTCTTGCTGTTTTCGGAAACGACGAAATGTTGTTTTCACCTGTTTTCAACATCTGTTTTCTCAAAAACAGGAAACAGAAATGAAAGTAAAAACTATCTTTCTCCCATTGGTTCTCCCAATCCCAATCATGGCCGGTAATTGCTCTGCCTCGGAAGCATTTCCACACACGGCATGACTGGAAAGATCCCAATGTTCTTTTCACCATTTGAACACCTTCATTAGGTTTCTAGTGGATAGAGAGATTGATCAAAGTATTCAGAAGTATCTGCAGGCTGTTAAAACACACATACAAAGAAAGGGAATGGAGATTCGGCAGAGTAATTGTCAGTTCTGCTTCTGCACTAAGTAAATGCATATGGTCCATCATTATATGATTGTTGTGGATGAGAAAAGTTCTATTATTTTGCCCCTTCTTTTAGAAAGCATGGTTCTTTTTCACTAACTGACAATGATGGAACTACAAAAGTAAACACAGTACAGAGGATCCACAACCATGGCAGCAGACAAGTGAAATAAACAGCAGAAGTTGTTTCTTCTTTTTAGATGATTGCAGCAACACTTCAGCATTACAGAAAATGCAGAGGCTTATAATTTTATCCAAGGAGCTCTTAATTCCATTTCATCATGTTTGGCTACATCTTTGGAGATCAAAAACAGCATGTCGTCGTTAGCCGCCTACCCAAGATTTTCTTACAACACAAAGTAGGCCACATTGGCTGGAATCAACATAGGTAGTCAAGACCAGCTGCTCAAATCTACCTAGTTCTCTGCCGAGCACGTAGAAAAACCTATATGAAGGAAACAGTCAAACCACAAGAGCAATGATCATTTTCTCAAAATTCTCACTGCCTTATGGTCAACTCAGCCCTAAGATGCAGAATACTATTGATGAAGAAAGGGCTGTCCTCGGCCATGAATGCCTCCCATGGAACACCAAACAGGTTCCTATATCCAACAGCCTTCCCTCCTGTGAAAGTGTAGTTTCCCTTATACTTGCTCACAAACTCATCTGTCGGCTTTGACCTAGCAGCAAACTCATAATCAACAGCAAAGCTCACTGATCCTTTCTCCTGCATCCCTAAAAACAGTCCAAAGCAGTGGAAAGAGCTCTGTTGGTCCATATTGCAGTGTGCAGACAAGAAAAACCCTTGCCCGCCAAGGTGAAAGGCTTGAGAGTAGACCCTGCCAGCTGGGAACAGATGTGTACACTCGTCACGTTTTAGGTCAAGATAGACCACACATTGCTGGCGTGGAAGATCAAACTCCACCACCTTAACGGGTCGGTACTTGTACGATCTTTCCACAAGGCGGCGATAGGGAGCATTGGCCTCTTCTAAAGCAAGAGCGCGCTGCCTATATGGCGTCTCGCCTTTGAAAAAGAGAGCATCCAGAACAACCTTGGATGCCACATCATGATCAAAGTCATTACATGTCAGGACCTTCCTCAGCTTTCGGCACGTCATGAATGCAAAACGAATTAATCGGACAAGACGGGTTCCCAGGACATCCCGACGTTCCTCTAATCTGGGATACTGAATGCGGGCCCACTTAAGTACGAAATCATAAACAGCATCCTCTGAAGCTACTTGGAGATCATCACTGGCTAATACCGCCTCAATTCCAGCTAGTGGCAAGTTAAGAACCTCATCTTGGAACCTAAGAGAGAATAAGTATATTAAAACATTTTTCTACCATTTGATGGAAATACAGAGACTAAAAATCAAAGGAACATGAAAGGCCAAGAATTGACAGTTCAGCCAATCGAAAAACTAAGTAATGAAGAAGCATATATTGACTAACACAGCCATATTCTCTGGTCCTGCTTTAGAGAGAGTCAGACTGAAACTTACTTAGACATATCCTTGTAACGTCCAGCAAGAAATTGCTTTGCAGCATCAGTAAGTGGCTGAACTGCTTCAGCCATTAGCACAGTAGATGGAAGTTCCAAGTAGAGCAACGCGGACTCACTAGTCATAGGCAAGTTTCTAAGTAACCTACTACAGTATCTCATACACGACACAACTTCAAACTTGTCGGCAGCCATCAATACATCCAACAAAGCAGTAGGGGTTGTTGAAGATAATGTATTGCTATACATAAAATTGAGGAGTTCCATTAGGGCTGCTTCTTCTGTTCCAGGGGGCAATCCAGCAAACAGAAAAATAATGAAAATCAGAACCCTTCCCCTTCAAATGTGACATAAGTAGCTAGCACCAGAATTACAAGCAAAGAGAAATTAAATTTACCAGATTCATGTATTCGAAGTGTTACATGCCGTTGATCCGACTCTCTCATCCCATTCGAAAACAACTGCAGGAAGGACTAAAGGAATTATAGTAGGCAATAATAGCAAATTAAGTACAGAACAGGAAAATGGCGCAGCAGCTAACCTTGTAGAAGAATGGACTCTTAGCCGCTAATATAGGTGAACTAATGTGTATAGTATTAACTCTAACTACAGCTGAACAGTCCATGCTCCAGCCAGATTCACTGCCAGTAGGGGCATCATCACCTGATAATAATAAAAAAAATCATCAAATAGAATCCCAGGTAACCCCACCTTGCCATTTAATAGGACTTAATAATTGTAAGAACGGAAGTCAGGGATGAAAGAAGCACCTTGTTCATTCAAATTCAATCCGCCGTCTGCAGCCGATTCCTCGATCATTGCCACAACTTCTTCATCCTGGTTATCATAAGCCAAAGTTTCCTCTACATCTGGCACATTCAAGTTTAGAACTTGCTCTGCGCTTTGCCCAATAACTTCAGCCACTGCCAACATCCCCAGAAGGAAGGAAACCAAACACGTCTGAATCAGAAACAGCACTTAGGAGATCAAGCTAAGATTGCAAGGACAAAAAACTTCCAGCAAGCTCCCAAACACAGGAAACCAATGAACACCTTTTCACATCTCATTTTCACTCCTTAGAACTATGGTATTAGCATCTACAACATAAATGAACATGACAAGCTCAAAACTTTTCACCAACAAACGATGTCTGATTCATTCATCAAATCCAGCAGGTTCAAGTTCAACCACCTAGACCGAGCCAGTTTCATACTTCGAATTCTACGAACCAGAGTCTGAAATAAGGACGAACTTAACACAGAAACAGAACATAACACCCGAAAATTTATTCAAAATCCAGAAACAAGGAACCTTCACTTCAACGGGGAAGAAAAGCACCAGGGTTTATAGCCGGAAACTAACCGTTTTCCTTCTTAATCTCCTCCCTCCGGCGCTTCCGGTTACGGGCCCACTCGGCTAAGGTGATGCAACCATCACCGTCTGATTTGGTGTCGGGCAAATCGGGGATTATCTCAATCTTCAGGACCCTATCGGAGAAATTCCGATCGTTGAAAGCAAATCCAAAGTCAGAATCGGCGGAGGAGCCACTAGTTCTCGTCGGAGAGAAATCGGAGTCCATCAGCGTCCGGGGCTCGAAGAGGTCGGCACCCAGCTCTCTCATCGCGACCCTACCACCACCACCACCACCACGACCGCAGAAATGGAAACCCAATCGCCCCAAACTTCAATCCCTTCTGCCAGATTTTACAATTTATGCTTTCGCTGTCATATTTATGGTGTGATTCGAAAACCTAGAGAGCAAGGAAGAAATGACAGAGCAAGAGATAGAGAGACAGGGAAGATAAAAAAGAAAGATTCAGGCAGAGAGTCGTTGAATAGTTATTTCTATTTTGTTGTCTGTTTACATTTTCTTTTTAATTATTATTTGTTGCGTGTTTGTTTCCCGAGAAATTTGAGGGGGAAATGCTCTGCCTCTACTGTTCGTTGGAAAGCGGTTCGGCAAGTTTGGGCTCAGCGACAGTACGTTTGCTTTTGAATTGGGCCCAAAGGCCAACAGTCTAGAGATGAGCCCAAACGGAAGGTGTTAGAACTCGTCGTTCTTCCAAGCTACAAGCCGATGACGAACTCATTTCGTTATTATGAAGCCTGAGCCTCACTGTAAGTTCTGGAGTTCGAGCATCGGCTAGAGGTCGTTTGGATGAATGAATGATGAAAAAAATCAAGCTACAAAAGCTATGCAAACAGAGCACACATTCATCGTGGCAGATCACTAGGGATAATAAAAAAAAAGAACGTCTTCATTAGCTCCATTATAGAATCCTTCAACCAAGTAGGTTACATGTGTAGAATCGGCAAGTTTTAGTTGAACTGCAGCTCACAGTTCACTAGCAAATGTAAATTTATGAGCATTCAAGAAATCGATCCACAAGGTAAGTCGAGTCAGTGGCTTGCCGAGAATACTCATTGCTTGAGGGTCAGTTCTGCTCTGAGATGGAGAATGTCATTGATGAAGAAAGGGCTGTCATCAGCCATGAACGTTGCCCACGGTACTCCAAACAAGTTCCGGTAACCCACAGCCTTCCCTCCAGTGAAAGTATAGTTCCCTTTATACTTACTGACAAACTCATCGGTTGGCTTAGACCTCGCAGCAAACTCATAGTCAACAGCAAAGCTCACTGATCCTTTCTCTTGCATCCCTAGAAACAGTCCAAAGCAGTGAAAAGAGCTCTGTTGGTCCATATTGCAGTGGCCAGACAAGAAAAACCCCTGCCCTCCGAGGTGAAATGCTTGTGAATACACCCTGCCAGCTGGAAATAGTTGCGAACATTCCTCACGTTTGAAGTCCAGGTACACTACACACTGTGGCCTGGGGAGTTCGAAATCCACCACCTTAATAGGACGATACTTGTACGCCCGCTCCACAAGCCGGCGATGGGAGGTGTTTGACTCCTCTGAAGCAAGGGCACGTTGTCTATATGGCGTCTCACACTTGAAAAACAGAGTATCGATAACAACCTTGGAGGCAAGTTCGTGGTCCAAGTCATTACAAGTCAATACCTTCTTGAGCTTTCGGGATGTCATGAAGGGAAAACGGATTAGTCTTGCAAGTCTCGTTCCCATGACTTCTCGGCGTTCATCTAATCTGGGGTAATGAAGGCGCGCCCACTTAAGCAAGAAATCATACACGGCATCCTCTGAAGCTACTTGGACATCATCACTTGAAAATATTGCCTCAATACCAGCCAATGGCATGTTGAGCACCTCTTCCTGGAACCTAGTGGATAATGTGAAGAAGAATAAACTTAGAAAGTCCAAAAATAAGAGAACGATGATGAAACATCAGTTGCAAAGGAACTCACTTAGATACGTCTTTGTATTGGCCAGCAAGATATTGTTTTGCAGCGTCGGTCAATGGCTGAACTGCTTCAGCCATTATAACAGTAGAAGGAAGGTCCAAATACAGGAACGCTGACTCACTAGTCATAGGCAAATTCCTCAGTAACCTACTGCAGTATCTCATGCATGATGAAACTTCAAACTTGTCAGCCGCCATCAATACATCCAACAAAGCTGGAGCTGTGGTCTTTGATAAGGTGCCACTGTACATAAAATTCAGCAGTTCCATCAAGGCTGCTTCTTCTGCTCAATACAGGAAAACAGAGAAAACAATCAGATCAAATTCGTCCAATGTAGAGTCCATAACTAGCACTAGGCAGGAAAGAAGAAAAAAATACAAAGTATACCACATTCGTGAATCCGAAGAGTTACATGGCGTTGATCCGACTCTTTCATTCCATTGGAGAACAACTTCACGAGGTAAACAAGAAAAACAATAAAGAACAATAACCCACAAATCAAATAAAATTCAAAGAACATTGAGAAAGGAGAAAGTTGCTCACCTTGTAAAAGAATGGGCTCTTTGCAGCTAATATTGGTGAGCTGATATGTATAGTACTAACCCTAAGAACAGCTGAATCCCTGCTCCAGCTCGATTCACTGCCACGAGGGGAATCTTCACCTGTAAATAGAAAAAGGCTGATCAAGTCAATGCCTGTATCGACACATCTTAATCGTTCGATATGCAGGTAGTGGCCAATTAAAAAAAGGGGAAGCATGTAAAGTTAGCACCTTGATCATTCAAATGTACCCCACCATCTTCACCACAATCCTCCATCATAGCAACAGCTTCCTCATCTTGGTTGTCATAGGCCAAAGTTTCCTCTGTTTGTGGGATAGTCAAATCTTCCACCAGCTCCAGTTTTATTCCTGTAGATTCTGCAGCTTCTAACAACCCAACAGAAAAACACCAAACGTTCTTCAATCAGAAAAGTGTCCGCTAGATGGAAAGACCAATCCTTTATAGCATTCTCTACATGGATCACACCAACGCATTTCACAAGCTGTCCGTGCTGCTAAATGGATACCAATGATCACCCAAAACCCACAAATTCTAACCAAGAAAAATTTTCTGGTTCGCAGATAGGCCTCAAAATCTCACACGCTAGTATGAAACCCTAACAAAGTTCATAGTCTCTGCCCGTCCCAGAAACATTCTGAATCCAGAAAGCAGATGTACCACCACAAATTGAACATTGGAAATCCAGGAGGCACAAAAACAAATTCCAACAGCATCACCCTAAACTAGCAATCAAGTAAGCAGAGCATTCATTTCCCAATAAAGAGGGGGACCCAGAAAACCAACCGTTCTCCTTCTTGATCTCCTCCCTCCGACGCTTCCGATCTCTGGCCCACTCGGTGAGGGTGACGCTACCATCTCCGCCGTCGATTTCGGACTCCGGTAGGTCGGGGATGATCTCTAGCTGAAGGATCCTATCGGAGAAATTCTGATCGTTGAAAGCGAACCCGAAGTCGGAGTCCGTACCGGAAGCAAGCGCCTTCGTCGTAGAGAATTCCGAGTCCATTGGTGTTTGAGGTTCGACGAGGTCGGCGCCGAGCTGTTTCATAGGCCGCCCACCGCCTCTGCCACCACTGGACCGAACGATCGCCACGGAACTCAAAACGATTTGGCAAACTTTTCCTTGAGCTGGGCTTGAGAGTCTCTGTAATTAGAAAACGAAATCTTCAAAGGGAGACTGGGGAGGGTAATTCCGGCAATGTGTATTTTTTGCGGAGATTAATTAATTAATTTCCTTTATTTATTTATCTGAAAGTGAAAAAGTTATTCATGTGGTTATAAAAAAAAGTTATTCATGTTGGTGATCCGTAAAATAATAATGCAGTACTAAAATTGGGCAGATTTAATGATTGTCTGTTTTCCCCCCCCTTTTCTGGTCTAAATTAGTGATCGGAGTTTGCATTGACTTGGTTTGGTCAAATTTGATGTGAATTCAATCAAAATTCAAATTGAGATAAGCCATTGTTTTTTTTTTCCGACTTATATCAATTTGAATTTTGATTGAATTCACATCAGATTTGTTAATGGACGAATCTTGAGCTGAAGAATAGTTTAAATCAGCACAACTTAATTGGAACTTTTAGATGAAGTGGGGAGAGAGAACGAGAAAGTGATAGAGGCAAAGAGCAAAACGAGAATTGACAGGAGATGCTAAGATCGACATTAATATGGTTTTTCGAATATGGGTTGGAAATGAAAATGATGGCGTCCAGTAATCGGCGATCGAGATTTAGCGGTCGTTTGCTTGATGGATTTGGGTCATGGATTTGGGACTCAAATTCCAAGCATGATGGATTTTAGCCAAGTCCATTGTTTGTTGTCAGATGTTAAATTCGTGGGGTCCACGGATTTGTTCTCTTTTTGGATCCAAATCCGTGGACCCCACGGACTTGTAAATCCCACATATTAGGGTGGGATTTGTAAATCCTTGATGGCTAGTTATATTTATAGCAAATCCATCATAATTGTATCATCAAATCTATCATGCAAACAATAGACTCTTCAAATCCATGATGGTACAAATCCCTCATAAATCCAAAAATTTCTTAGAGCCAAAACCCTCATTTTTCAAATCCAACAAGCAAACGATCCCTAGAATTTCGAAGTCCAGAGCATTAAGACGAGATCAATGGTGACAATTTTTGGGAGAGAATAGAGGAGTAACATAAGAAAGAGGAGTTGGCCAATTCAGGAAAGCTAATGCCCTGTTTAGTAATCATTCCTATTCCTGTTTTCTCATTCCATTTCATAAATTTAGAAATGGAAACCAAAAATTGTGTTTACTTTTCATTCCCATTCCATCATATTTCATTTGGGGAATCAAATAGTAGAAAAACAGTAGCAGTTTGGAAAACACATTTTTTTTGTTTTATGGAATGGAAACGGGCGGGTTTCTCCCCCTTCCTCATTAATGAGGTCCACCTATCGAATCCCCCAACCGCCCCATTATCAATTGATTATACCCATCTTTCATTTGGACGGCAAAACCACCCCCAAACCCTTTCCTCTTCTTCTCATCTTCTATTCTTCTCCCAACCGCAGCTAGCTTCGTCTTTTCCTCTGCTCGCCTTGTCGTTGCTAACGATTCAGACTTCATCTTCGCCTTGTCGTTGCTGTCGCCTGTGTCGGCCCGCCCTTCATCCCCTGCTCGCCTTGTCGTTGTTGTCACCCCGACCTTCATCCATCGTCTGCTTCTCTTCTAATCGACAACAACTCTTCCAAGTCTCTATCGTATCCCCTGTGTCTCTCCTCGTCGCAATTGCCTTTTCATTTTCTGGTGGGGTTAAAGACACATTTGGTCACTGAGATTACAAAATCGGGACATGTTTAGTCACTAGAAAAAGTTAATATCAAATTTGGTCACTACAATTACTAAAACTGGACGCATTTAGTCACTCGTCGTTAGTCTCCGTCCAACTCCGTTAATGAAATCCGTTAAGTGCTGATGTGGCAAACAGAATTGCCTAATCAGCCGGATATAACCCAACAAAAATAAAACCCGACCCGCCACGTCATTATAACCCGCCACCTCATTAAAACCAACCCAACCCAACCCATGACCAAACCCTACCCAACCCTTCTTCCTCCTTCCTCCCCAACCCAATTTAGGGTTTTCCCCATCCCATCCAAATTCGCTGAGCGGGGAGAAGATCTCTCCGTCATTAATCTGCCGCCCTTCCTTCATCTTCTTCCTCTGTCATTCCCAATTCCAAAATTTCGAAACAGCTTACCTCATCGGCAACGACGGGACCGGGGGCGTTAGCTTCGGCGCTAGGTCCGGGAGCCCCGACCGGAGGAGCGGGACGGCTCGACAATGAAGGAGAGGGAGCCGGAGATCCGCTCTTCTTCTTCGACTTCTTGCTGGGAGCCGGCGCCGGAACATCAGCAGCGGGAGGAGAGGCGGTAGGCGTAGCGGCGGCGGTGACGGGAGCAGGCGTAGGAGGAGCAGTAGCTGCTGCAGGCGGATTATAACGACGTGGGTTGGGTCATGGGCCTTTCCTTCTTCGCCCTTGGCTGGGTCATCAAAGGCGGTAATCCTCTCCCCTCCTTCAAACCCGACGACGACAACAACAAACCTTCCTCTTCTGTGACCGCCGATGCCGATGCTCGCCGTTGAATCTGGCTCGTGAGTTTCCGCTATCTTTCTTATTGGATTTTCAGGAATTTCAAATCGGTCTCTCCTTCTCGCTACTATGATCACTGATTTTGCAGTTGGGTTGCCTGTATTTCAGCTGCTTGAATTGGTCGCTTCCAGTGTTCATCCTTCTGTATTGATCATCAACTACGGAAATGTCTGTTTTGCAGGCGAATGAAGAATGCAGACAAAAACCACCATGGGTTGGGTTGGGTTGGTTTTAATGAGGTGGCGGGTTATAATGACGTGGCGGGTCGGGTTTTATTTTTGTTGGGTTATATCCGGCTGATTAGGCAATTCTGTTTGCCACATCAGCACTTAACGGACTTCATTAACGGAGTTGGACGGAGACTAACGGCGAGTGACTAAATGCGTCCAGTTTTAGTAATTGTAGTGACCAAATTTGATATTAACTTTTTCTAGTGACTAAACATGTCCTGATTTTGTAATCTCAGTGACCAAATGTGTCTTTAACCCTTTTCTGGTGAGTTTCTTATTCTGAATTGCTATTTGTCGCCCTAAATTTTAAATTATTTCGCCCTAAATTATAATAAATTGACATTTATATCCCTATATCCAATTGCAATCCATAACTCCTAACTCCGACCAATCGTCCAACCACTGCTGTCGTTCCCCCCAACCCATCGGCGCCGTCATTCCCCCACGCCGCCGACCTGCTGTCATTGCCGTGAAAGAACCCCACCAACCGGATTCGGCCGTCGTAGACAATCCCCTAGCACGCCGACCTGCTGTGATTCCCCAACCTGCTGACCCGCTGCTGTTGCTAAGAAAGGAGGAGGAAGAAGGTCATGGTCACCCGTTTCTGAGCAACGAAGCTCAAACCTCAACACAACAAAGCCAAAGTTTCGTACTGCCATCAATAACCCAAAATTGAAAAGAGACACCACAAGGTTTTAGAAGGAAGCAACAGAATAAAGCAAAAAAAAAAAAAAAAACAAATAGAGAAGACACGAAACCAAAGGAAAGTGCTTACCTTTCCAACAGTTTCGGCAATTCGATCGATACAAGGCTCCAGAAGGTTGGTACCGTTGTCCCAAACCAATCCGTCATTTACCGGAAGCTGGAATCGCACAAACAACGATGAAAGGCACAATCAATCGAATTTAGGGATTCAGGGAATCTCGGAGAAATGGAGAGAGAGATGCTTGAGGGGTTACTCATTGGTTTGTCGGGACGATGTGTCTGCCGACGGGGAGTCCCATCCCGACGGGGTTACTGACTGGTAACTCACAAGGAGGAGGAAGGTTATTTAAGTCATTTTAATATATATTAGGGCGACAAATAAAGAGTTTTAGGGCGACGAATAGCAATGCCCTTCTTATTTTGGTTTGATTTGAAGAGTGTGGATCTAATTGCAGAACCTCTTCCATCCTTCGTTGGTTGCTTCTTTTGATCTATCTCACTTTCTCTTGCAATGATAATTAATTTGGGGTTTGTGCATGATTTTCATCTGTAGAGAGTGAGCAGTTGCCGCCGATTTAATACATCCCACCCTTGGTCTGCTGGGTGTTCCTCCTCTGCCACTATGCTCGCATCATTCACTAGTGAGCAATTTTTTTGACTTATCCATCTTTTATTCCTTTTCTCTTCTTCACTATTTGAGCAGTACATGATTTCATCTTCCTTTTCCTCACTCATAGGCGGCCCCTTCTTCTTTTAAAAAGCACAACATAGATTATAATTAAACCATATGTCCCCCTAATTAACCCATGCATGTCCCTTCTAATTGATTGTGCCGAATCTTTTGTTCGTGTTTGATTACTTGTTGTTGTATATCTAATACGAGTGATTTATTTATGAAGGTTTGGACTGATGATCAGTTAAAGAACAAGTTTAATCAGTTGAGGGGAAAGCAAAGGGTTTTCATGACCATCATTGTTGACGAAGGCCAACAATGTGACAAAGAAGTCTAAGGAGTACAACTCAAACTCGGGTGATGGATATTCGACGTGATGAAATAGTAGACAAGTTGTAGAAATGACTTTCAAGCCGGAATTATTTGATGTTTTCACTTATTTGATATTTGATATTGTAGTTGTACTTCTTAAAATATTGGTTGACGTACTAGTGTTTTGTTTATGTGTTTAAAACATTGCTCCTATTGAGAACACATATCAGTTTGTAACAATTGTATATAAACAAGTTTTCATTTCCAGGTTTCAGTTTCATAACTCTCAAAATTCTCAGCTAAACAAGTTTTCTTCAGATGTTGTTTTTCGGGAAATGACAGATGTTAGAATTTACTTTATTCTATGTAATTCCCCGGAACACATCTCGTTAGATTATCAAAGGTTTGTAGAAATACCTGGAAACATGTTGTTGATCGTCAAGAGCTTGATGCGGAATCTGGAAGACGATCTGGAACTGGACGATACTCCTAGAGCACGATCCAGGAGGTTCTGTGACCTTCCTCAACCAAGCCTCCATAGTTCCTTAACGGGAGAGCTCTCGTCTTCCTGATGGGGAGAAGATGAGATTGTTTGGTCTTGGTGTCTTGGGGACCACAACCTCAAGCTCCTTATATACTAGTTCACCATGGGCTCCCATAAAACCCAAGGTGATTAAGTATTGGGTTTCCACCCATTGGACCCATATTGGACTTGAGTAGTCATGAGCCACATAAAATAGATCACTTAATTTAGCCCATCTAAGCAAATAACAAATATAGTGTGTTTGGAAATTGATGGCCCACATAAGTTAGGAAATGAATTTTCTAACAATCTCCCACTTGGGCTATCAAATTTTCACACACGTATATTACAAAATTCTTTAGGCGCGCTACCGTATGTTATTCGTACAATGACTACTCCTTAACAATCTGGTCCACCTCATGTATCAACTATGGAACCAACGCGGCTTTAATCACGACATGACAATGATTAAACCACCATGATCACCACACCAATACACTCAATGACATAGATCAAATATGGATGAGTGGCATGAAAATTACATGCAATGTGATCTTTAACATGTCTATTTTCAACTGGTCCAACTTTAGTCCTTATTGAGATCAACTGAAATTCCTTCATACAATGTGACCACTGTATAACCGAAGGGACTTTAAATTCCAAAATAGACTCTAGAAAACCATCACTTTATTCTGCAGAAATTAGTTTAGTCATAACTATTGAACATACTTAAATGACTCCCACTAAACCAAGGTACCATCCGGAATAACACTCATGTGAGCAGCGTGCTCGTGGAAAACTTTGTGTCAAACCTTTGGCTAATGGACAAGCTAGCATTAGTCATGTCCTTAATGTTCAATAGAAACTTGTCTATTTTGAACCTCTTTAACCACCAGGAGCTTGATGTCAAGATATTTGACTTCTGAAATCCATGGTAATGATAGTGTATCACTATCAAATTATTGTCACTGTTAACCTTTAATAACTTACCAATGTCATTCTAGTGACAAAAAACTTTGCAACCATAATAGGAAGCACAAGATGTGATTTGAACTCTACCCCAACACTGAAGGGTAACCTGATGTAGAGTTTATGCTACCTTGACATCCTGTAACATCAGAGTCAGAGTACTTGATGATCTCTAAATTATCTGATCTCTAACAAATTTGCATAAATTCTTTTATCAACTTTAGTAAACGCGTTACACGTTTGAATCCTTCTAGTGTTTCATGCATAGACCAAACAAATATCTGCCAAAGACTCTTACTAGAAATGCTTTATTGGGATGAGAATAAACTAAAGTATACATTAGATCTTTACTGCAAATATGCATTAAGGAGATTTTGTATCTTAATTTCTTATATATAGTTGGGGCACTGATTGAGACCAAAACTGTCTCCCTTAGCTACAACACATCTCCTGGTTTACTAACTTATTCTACTTGCCCCTTAAGTAGAACAACCATGATGTATAAAACAGGAAAATAAATTTACTCCCACTGAACTTAAGATATACACAATCATCTCTAACATTAGTCTCTAAATCTGAATGAGCTAATAACATGAGAATCATTGTGATATCAATAATGAGATGATTATATGAGTCACCATTGTCATTATATTCCTAAAAGAGTCTCTCAAATATACCAGAGAGAAAGTCTCTTTGAGTCAAACACTTTCCTTATTAGTAAAGCCTTAGAGACCAACATGCCTTATATATCTCATTGACTTCACCACATGGCATCAATCCACTTTTCATAACTGTTCATGACTGGACTAAAATTGAATCATTAGTCAACCTGATGTCATGTATATATTCTTTGAAGAACAACGATATTGTTAGCTAGAATCATCCATCTTCTACTTTGTGGATATACTTAATAGCACTTCTTGAGTGTGTTGAGTTTGTGTGGTAACAATATTCCTTATGTTTCCTTCCCCCCAAAACTCAAAATACTCAAGAAACCTCACATTTCTCATTTAAAAATCTTCTTGAGGTGGGATTATAAAACTTGTAGCCTCGAGAGTACTATTGAGTAGCCAACAAAGTATAAGTTAATTTTGTCCATTATACCTTCTTGTACCTTACAAGGTATTTCCTAAGTTGGACAACCCTAAATGTGCAAGGTCCTTATTGCACTTATTGGTTACATTAACTACCTTCTGGATACTCAATTTAAGGATGTACGTTGTAACCTTTATGTCTTTTATCCAAATGGAGTCTAGTAAGTAGAAATACTCATCGCCATGTCCTTAAGAGTTCAACGAAACCATAACATCCTTAACTCTCTATTTGTTCCTTTACTGAGAATTTGAGGTTTAGTGATTGAGTTCAGTCTCATCTCGTATCTTCCCTCCTCTCCTTTTGTGAATATTAGTACTCACCTAAAACTTCATGGAGGAAGATAAATTAAAACAAGTGTTGAGTATGCCTTTTGACACCTCCAAAATATAATACACTTGTACATTTTGCCTTTACACTTTATGGATTAAATTACCCCAATAGGCAGCTTACCCCGGATCCTTTTATGTTTCGGCAAAATACTGTATTATTACTTCAATAAACCTCAGAGGCATCTCAGTATAATAGCCCCATAATTATTCATCGAATAGAGCGCTTAATGATCATCATGCACACTGAATTGGATATATCTCTATTCGCTATTATTAAATCTCATTGAGATTTTCCGAAGTAGAATAGGGAATGTTCCACATAAAAGCGCAAGATCAATGCCTATATATCGAGAATAATTGTCTTGAATTTACTTTAAATTCTTTAGATTCATCCCATTTAACAGAAGAGTTAACTTTAATTTCGACAGAAATGTTTAAATCAAAGCACGAAAAACTATATTGAGATAAAAGAAAACACACATCAAGCCATGTAATTAAACAAGACAACAACTTTATCCAATTTTTGGGGACCCATCATAAGATACCAAATGCAACATTAATTCTTAGTCTTTGGACAGAGAAATTAACTGCGAGCGGTACTCTTAAAAAACAATGATCAAATACTGATAATAAGTTCTGTCAAACAACAGTCTATCTTTGGACCGACTGTTATTCACATGAACAACAACTTTATAATTATCACGTATTTACCATTAATGTGCTTGATTATTTTGGTCAAATAATGTCGTCCTTTGGGTCGAGCACTACCCACATAAAATAACCTTACACGTACGTCCATGTAATCTAAGTTAAATAATTTTTCGCAAGTAGAGGTTACTTTGGCAACATACTGCTAAAATTATTTTAATTAAAATACTGGACAATTCTCTCATAATCACAGAAATCCACATAAGTGATTAATTATCCTTAAGAGAGAATTACAATAATAATTTCAAATAACGGTTTACTCCATCTCAAGACACAATGCACTCCATTAATATTTGTCTTTGGACAAAATATTAACTTGTAAGTAATGTCTTATGATCGAGTAATTAAACATTGATGATAAGAACAATATGAAATAGTAAATCCACCTTTGGGCCGATTTAAAATTCACATGGTAACCGAATAATCATCACATATTTATTACTCTATGCGCACATATGGAACCTTAAATGTAAACCTTTGGGCCAGTGAATACATAATTTGCACGCGCTAAAATGTAAACCTTTACCATATAGGGACTTAAAATGTTCAAACCGACCCCAAATTTTGGTTACTGAAATGAGGCTTATATTCCTCATAAACTAGGCTTGTTTTCAAACAAATTACGAGGCATGAAATACACAGTAACTATAAAGTGCATATTAATGATCCAACGACCATCACGCAGCGGATAATGCACAAATAAACCAAAATATGTATGGCTAGTCATTAAATTCTAGCCGGATTTATTAGTGCCTATACCTTATTGTTGCATTACTTACCAAAAGCACACCCGGTTATTAATAATTAAGCCGTAATTGAAAATCAATAACCAGCTATGTAGTTATTATTCCGGACAAGTAATGAATTCAAATGGTAACACTGTAATCGTTATGAGAAAACAATGATAAAAGAATAAGAAATTACCACAATGTTATCATAACCGAAATAAAACGATAATTATCTTTATGACAACAGGGAATATCATTATAAGAAGTAAAACAACCTTGCATATCATTATAGTGAGAACTACAACTGGAAACAGCCGATAATCATAAGTGGTATTATTATTATGGCAAGTATAAAACACTCGAAAATATATATAACAACCGGAAGAAATAATTAATTTATGCCTTCTGTAATCCCTTAAACGGAAGTCCTTAATGGTTAATTAATTCATATACATAACCGGAAAATAATTAACCAATACCGCTAAGTGGAATACAATTAACTATTATTATCATTCCAGAGACTTTACCATAATTCCGTAAAACACAAACGGCTTTAATAATAAATTAATCCCTTCCGACTCCCCTTCTGTAATACCGTAACCGGAAGGTAACAATAATTATTATCTTAGAAACCAACAACTACTGGAGCGGTTTCCTTAACCCCAAATGTAATAATTATTATTATTGACGTAAAACTATACCGTAACCGGCATATTAACTATCATTATGATAATTTCCCACCTTACCGGAAGATAACGATTATCATTATCCAAAGCAAAAAATCGGAAACCAGCATTTCCGGAACCGTAAGGATAATTTTAATTATATGTCAA